CTGCACGCCCCCTACTGGGGATCGAGCCAGCAACCCAGGCAGGTGACCTTGATTGGAATCGAACCCAGGACCCTTCAGTCCACAGGCCGATGCTCTATTCACTGAGCCAAACCGGCTAGGGCTATATGTGGATTTTCTATTGTGCAGGGAAGTCCACCTTGGTGCCCCTAATTACTGTGTTGTTGAAGGGTCAACTGTAAACAAGAGTTAAGTTCTAATGACATATTTCTGGTCATAGAAACATCACCAGTCTTCTAAATAATGACCCAAAACACTTCTAATATTAAGCACTGAAATAATACATAGGGTTTTGGGGTCCAGAGCCCAATTTATCAAAAATTTTAGGTGAATATGGAACTTGTATGAAGGATTTAATTTTAAAAAAAAAATCTGTTAGCAAAGCCTAGTTTTTAGTATGTAGGTGCTATGATTACAGTTGAACTATATTTGTTACTTCCAAGAGGATATTTGTATTATAAATAGATTTTCTCCCTTTCTTATTTTTCTTATTCTCTCACCTGAAGATAGGTTTATTGATTTTAGAGGACGTGTGTGTGGGGGAGAGAGAGAGAGGAAGAAATAGAAAGAAAGAGATAGATATGAGAGAGAAACATTGGTCAGTTGCCTCCTGTATGCTGCCTACCAGGGATAGAACCCACAATCTATGTATGTGCTCTAATCAGTAATCAAACATGCAACTTTTTGGTGTATGGGACGACACTCCAACCAACTGAGTCACCCGGCCATAGCTCTTGTTAACGTTTCTACAGAAAAAATCGACCAGGTTATTTTAGGACCTGTAGAAGTTGACTTGACTTCTGTACTTTGAGAAGAGGCTTGTAGAAGATGTCTTTCTTTTAAAAAACAGGCAGTATTTCAAATGGTCACTTTGTTTTTGTATAGCAAGCCATTAATTTTGTTACAATTCTTACTATATGTGATTTTAAAAAAATACAAGATAGATTTTAATCCATCTGACAATAGGCTACTAGTGGCAGAATCTTTTGGTGGTCTGGTAAATTTCTAAATGTACTCTGAGTCTGGTGCTAATATAATGATTCTAATTTATCAAATGCTTATTAAGTACCTCTTCTGAATGCTGAGTTCTACACTAGATGGAAGAATAAGGCATGATCTTTGTTCCTTGTAGGATAATTTATGGAAGTATTTATCAATTGTATTGACCGAGCAATCTCAACTATTACTATTATTATTTGCCGTTATTCTATTTTGAATTTTATGGGAAAATGCTACAAAACATTTTAAATAACATTCTGAATGTATTTTAACTATTAAATACAATACAATTATTTAATATTAATTTTGCCCCTTATATAATCTAGTTTTATTTTAATAATGCACCTATATATAGGGCAAATATATCTATAATTTACTTTAGAAGATCATAAGTAGCTCTTAAGTTTTGATATATTTTTTACAAATATTAACTTTGCTCTAGTATATTCATTAATATTTTAGTTTATTGTCCATTTGAGTAGGTATATATTACTTTATGCAGAAATGTTTATTTTTTAAATTTCATATAAAAATAACTCATTTTCAACTAATATCAAATTTGTTGAAAGGAGAAAATGGTATTTGATAAGTGTTTTATAAAGTCATTTGGAAAATTTTGCTTGTTAACTTAGAGTTTATATTCATTTAATATTTCTCTTATAACTAGTAGGAAATTGGTGTGAAATGGGAAGTAGTCTACAGGATCTTTGTATATGAATATGAAGGTGAAGTTCATGTAATTAATTAAAATTTTTATGCACTTCTTTCTGGTATTCCATGGCTTATAATTTTAGATTTGAAGGCCAACTTAAAGATTATGAAATAAAACAGCAATTTTGATTTTTGTAAGGAAATTGGCACAACCCCAATTATCCACCTTTCTGCTGGAAAAGTCAAGACATTCGAAATTTGTACATGCTTTCTCTTCTAGCAGCTAGTCATATTCAACAGATTCCATTAATCTATAAGAGCCCTTGAAATTGTGGCCATATATATTATTCATTTTTGAAGTATTTACCAGAGAATTGGCATTCCAGTCACTCCCAGCTAGATAACTTATAATTAGACAACTTCTGAGACTACATTTTATATTTTGCAAATCAGGGTTTCATACAAACTCTGGGTAAAACTATAAAAATTGACATTATTATTATTTTTAAAAATCACAGTAAATAAAGTTTGTTAGTGTTAAATACCTGTTCTGATATGTGATTTTTCTCCTGAATCACTAGTTTCATTTGTTCAGTAAACATTTCTAGGACATAATGTTCTTTTGACATAGATTGCCCATGAGTTTTATCTCACACAGATCATACCTTTCCTCAGGCCTCTTGTCCCAACTCTATTCTTAAAGTTTTAAACCTATTCTTACTGGCATAAAATACATATATGTGTCTCTCACACATGTCTGCGTGTGTGTGTGTGTGTGTGTGTGTGTGTATTTGCGTATTTGCCCCCTTCTTTGTTTTGTCTTTATCATCACCTGGCTTTCCCTGAAGTTTCCATCTGCTTAAAGTATCATACATTCATTTGGGCCTATGCCAGCGGTTCTCAACCTGTGGGTCGCGACCCCTTTGGTGGTCGAACGACCCTTTCACAGGGGTCGCCTAAGACCACCCTGCATATCAGATATTTACATTATGATTCATAACAGTAGCAACATTACAGTTATGAAGTAGTAACGAAAATAATTTTATGGTTGGGTCACAATGAGGAACTGTATTTAAAGGGACAGAAGTTTGAGAACCACTGGCCTATGCGGATATGAACGTGGCATAAAAATAGATTTCTTTTTTATTGTATTCTCTTTAGACAGAAGTATGTGGTCTTCAGGAAGGTCAATCAAGTAGCAGTTATTTAATTTATATAAAAAGTTGTTTGTTTCCTAATTTGTTTGAGAGATATGAACCAAAGCACACATACCTAAAAAGGTTACAGATTTTAATATTTTGGTAATGCATTAGTACTCTTGATTGAGGATAACTTGAGAATTCAAACTGACTTAAAGAAGAAGGAATTTATTTGTACATATAACTGAGAATGAGTTCAAACATGGATGGATCCACGGGCTCTAGAACAGTATCATTAGGAATATCACTATCTTTTTGAAAAAGTTCTGTGTTTTTTTTTGGTTAATCCTTAACCAAGGATATTTTTTCATTGATTTTTAGAAAGAGTAGAAGGGGGTTGGGGGAAGAGAGAGAGAGACAGGGAGACAGAGAGCTATGAATCTGTTGCCTTCCGTATGCGCCTGGACTCACTGGGCTGGGGGATCAAACCTTCAACCCATCTACACGTCCTTGATAGGGAATCAAACCCGCAACTCTTCCGTGTGTTGGCTGACGCTCCATCCACTGAGCCACATGCTTTATTTTCTGACAAACTTTATTAAGAAGTTTTATTTTCTAGCAAACTTTTTAAGAGTGACAATTACAGTGATCAGCAGTTGCAGGCTTACCTAATATTGCCACCCCAGGTTGTGGAGTAAGGAATTCCTCTTTTTATAAAGGCTTCAACCAAAGTCAAAGCTTCAACAAAAGTTCTGGGATCAAGTCCTTTTGGCCTAGCTTGGGTAATGTGAGTCCTGGATTGCGAGAGGGATGTCCGACTGCTGTCCACAGGTATCGTGCCTAAACCAGCAGTTGGACATACCCCGCGGGGTCCCAGATTGGAGAGGGTGCAGACTGGGCTGAGGGACACCCACCCTGAACCAATTATTGTGGCCTGAAGGATGGAATGCCCTGGGCAAGTGTGTGTCATATCTTCACTCAAGTTACTGTTGCAGATAGGACAGGGAGTCAGGATTGAGATAAACTCTGTATGAATCACATGAACTAAAAATGAAGAGTATGGAAATTTCTCCAAAGGAAAAATCAGAACTGGGTAGATAAAAATATTCATTATAGTAATAAAACTGTCATAAAATTATGTTATGTAATCACAGATTGGTGAAGGATTACTACAATGTTAGATTCCTGTGTGCCTTAGTTTGAGTGGTTCTCAACCATTTTTGCATACTGAAGTCATCTGGGAAGCTTTTAAATGTCCCAATGCCCAGGCCAATTAAATCACAATTTTGGGGGGGGGGGGGTAACCAGGGCTCTGTATTTTTTTCTTTGAAGTTCCAAAGTTTGATTTCAGTACACAGCCAAGCTATAGAGCATTATATTAGTGCCCTTCAGACTTTACAGTGGATTAGGATTACTTGGAGATCTTGTTTAAAATGAAGAATATTGGGGGCCCCACCTTCAGAGATTGTGATTGAATAGATCTCAGGTGGGACCTCAGACATTTGTACATGGTGCTTTGTTGTAGGTCGTAGAACTAATTTGAGGAGCATTACATTAGATGGTTAGCATTTTGACAATATGTCAGTTTTAAGTTCTTTAATTTGTGGATTATTGTTAAGTCATTTTTTCGCCTTCTAGTCTATAGGCTGTTTGGTAACTAATTTTTGTTTGGTATGCTTATTCCTCCATCAGATTTGCTGTACTGGTTTCTACAGAGACAAACATAGCATGGGCACTAGATTATGCAACTTGAAATTATTTTGAGGTTGCATCAAGACGATTGATTCTGACATCATAAAATCCAAATATTTTTTCTATAACAACAGTTATAGAAATTAACTCATAGAACCCATTTATCTCCCTGGTTACCTTTTTACTTTAGTCCCTTTTTGCCCCTTAACCTCAAGGCTCAAGATGAAAGTGACTCAGTATAAATGTATGTATCTTTTGATTAATTTCTAATATGTGTCTTGATATAATTTATATTTGTGTATTGTTCTGCTGGTCCCAAACATTGTGTAATCAAAATAGGCCACCTACTTTCAGATACTCAACCCCTTTTGGGACACAGTATTTAATTGCCATATTAATTGTAATTTTCTTCCTTCTGATGCTTTAAGCATTTGTTTTCCTCTCCTTGTGAGAATTGACTTACTTAACATTTTCTTTTTATGCTCTTTTGTTTTTAAACAGGCTAATTGCACGTCAGCTTGCTAAAATTCATGCTATTCATGCACACAATGGCTGGATTCCCAAATCTAATCTATGGCTGAAGATGAGGAAATACTTCTCTCTTATTCCCACAGGATTTGCAGATGAAGATCTTAATAAAAGGTAAAATTACTAAAATTACTTTTACATTTGAAATAATATTTCACATTGCTCTAAATACTAGTTCTCAAAGATAACTATAAGGTTTCTGTATATAAAATCTGGTTTGGTTTATCTCTGCATTGAAATAAAATAGTCATTGATTCATTTGACTTTCAGATGACACTATAGAAATAAAGCCTCTCTCTTTTTCCCCCAGATGACTAAAAAAACAAAAACAAAATCAAATCCTACAAAAGCAAGGGGATATGGGAGTGGGCAGAGATGAGGGGACAAAAAATAAATATAGAACATTTATTTGCAAGTAACTGAAATAAAAAAACCACTTATGAATAGGTATGTTTTTGCATAGTATGAGTTGGTCATTGAGACTTAAAAAAAAATCTTTTTGTTCAAAGCTGTTTTGAATAGGCCTAGAGATTACATTGGGGAGTGTAGTAATGGAATGTGAAAAAGCTTGGGTTGTCTTAGTTTACTATGGCTATTGAAGTCCCATATAATGAAGTTGAAAATTCATTTACTAGAGTCTTACTTAGATTTTGTAGGGTCAAACTGACTATAGTATTTCATTATATTCTATATAAAACTATTCGTAAATCAGGTTTTAGACTCTAAGTTATATGAACATATATATATATTTTAAACATATTTTTATTAATTTCGGAGAAGAAGGGAGAGAAAGAGAGAGATAGAAACATCAATTATAGAGTCATTAATTGGGTGCCACCTGCATGTGTCCTGACCGGGAATTGAACTATGACTTCTCCTGGGTTATAAGTTGTCGCTCAATCACTGAGCCATGTGGGCCCCACTGAACATATTTTTTATAGTGTAATTAATACTAGTACAAAAATTAGAAATTTTATTTTGTTCTTTACATCTAAAATGTACATGAAAACTTCAGCTTTTGTATTTAGCAAGTCTTTGTTTTAAGAACAACAGACACATGTAGGACCTAAAAAGTTTTTTTGCTTTTGTTTTTTAAATAATTTTTATTAGGGAAAAATAGCTGTATTGTTCTGTTGAGTATTATTATTTCAACATTTAATTTGAATCACTGTGTAGCTGTTTATTTTTTGTTTTTGTTTGTTGTTAAACCTCAGGGGTGGGGGGAGAGAGAAACATCAATGTGAGAGAGACACTATGATTGGTTGCCTCCCATATGCTTCCCGAACAGAGCTGGGGATTAAACTTACAACCCAGGTATGTGCCCCTGACCGGGAATCAAACCCTCGACCCTTTGGTGCAAGGGCCAACACTCCTACCACTGAGCAGCACCAGCCAGGGCGGTGTAACTGTTTGTATCTGCAGGTATTTGGTCAAACTTTGAATTTGATAGGGATATTATTCTCCTTTAATTGGGATAGGCAAATGTCTAGTGTGCTGGGGAAGCAACAGCATAAAAACAGAAAATTTTTTTTGGAAATAGCTATTTTGTTGAAAGATTTTAGGGAAGGCTACTTAAAAATAATGAAGTAGATGGCAAAAGTGAATACAAGATTTCCTTGTGGGTTTTTTTTAAAGATGACGGCAGAGTTTGAGAGGCAGTATAGTATGGTTTTGGAGCACAAGACTTTGGAACTGTATTGCTTGGGGATGAAATATCAGTTTTGCCAATTAACATTTCTGCTTTTTAACCTTTGGCAGCAAGTTATCTATTTCTTCATTTGTAAAATGGAAAAAAACAAGAGTAGTACATTTAAAAAACTTTGAGGGTTTTGTCAGAATTAATTGAGTTAGTATATACTAGTAGAAATTAGTTAGAACATTGCCTGGCCATTTAAGTGCTAAATAAATTTTAGCTAGTACTTTTAAAATTCAAAGCAGGTAGAATAGGTTTTGGGTCATATTTCCTAGACTCTTTTGAGGTATATTTTAAAACCTTGATGTGATACTTTGGAAAAGCTGGAGATGCCCAGTGATTAATAACAGGGTGAAAGCATCCTGTCCCAATAGAAAATATTCAACTAGAACATTAAAAGCAATTACCTTTTTGTTTGTACATGTTTGTAATTACCATGTTCATAATTCTTTGAATCCTGTTATTTCCACTTAACTCTGTACTTTTAAAAGTACACCACTTTTAAAAGAACCAGTTACACCACTTAAAGAACTATAAGGATTACTTTTAGAAACTGTGTGTAGAGTAGAATGCAGTAGTGGGAAAAATACAGGTAGCAACCACCTGAATAGGAAAATTCATTAAAGTAAATTCAGTGTACAGAATCTTTATTATATTGTAACCAGAGGCCTGGTGCACGGGTGGGGTCCCTCGGCCTGGCCGGTGATTGGGACCAATAGGGGGGCCGCCCCCCCCAATTGGGGCGATTGCGGGGGGCAGCTGGCCAGGGGGAGGGACTGCTGGAGGTTGGCCCCAGCAGCAAGCTAACCAGCGGCCGATTCCGTGAAGAATCGGGCTCCCTCCTTCCTCCTGTATGGGTCCAGGGTGTGAGTGAACCAGATTCGGAGTTGTCAGGGCCCCAGCAGCAAGGTCTGAGTCAGTGCACATCATAGCTACTGCTGGTCATCCAGTCGTTCTGGTCATTCTTAATGATCACTTAGAGATATATCTATATACCGAGAGAGAGATAGAAAAGTAAGGGATAATTTGAGAGTCTAGAGCAGGGGTGGGCAACCCCTGGCACGCGTGCCAAACATGGCACGCCAGTAACTTTTGCTGGCACGCGAAACCCTCTCTTATAATTTTCCATTTACAATTTTTTTCTTAATATCGACTTTTTTATTTTTCAGATAAATTCAGTGTAGGTGCATCTTAGATAAATAAATAATTTTACATAACAAGTTATGTTAAAGACCATAGACATGGATTGACGAGAGGGGAAGAGCAATTTCTATGCCTCTGCCTTAACTCTCCCTGCCTTCCTAGATCCGACCAGTGCTTTGGTTTCATCCACATACGCTTGTGAATCTTTGTTCTCAGTGATGAATTTTGTTAAGTTTTGTAATAGGAGTAGCCTGACAGATGAAAGTAGTAGCTCGTGCATATCTCTGAAGGGCACTAAATATAAACCTGATGTAAAATCTGTCATCAGTGATGCAGCAGCAAAAGTCCCACTGATAATATCAAACGTAGTCATGAAGTTTTCTGTCGGACTATCAGTGTACATGTATACATTAAAAAATAAATGTATTTTTCATCATCATATACTGTGTTTTTGTCGCTCGAATGAATTTTATTATTTCTTCAAGGTTCTTCACATACGTACACCTTAAGAGTTATCAAGTAGGCGAAACGTGTTCTCAAAAAATTAGGGTTGGCACGCAGAAGAATTTTGAGTCAGAGATTTTGCTGGTTTTGGCACGCACTCACAAAAAGGTTGCCCACCCCTGGTCTAGAGAAAGAATGAAGAGAACTTGGCTTAAAGTATAAAGGGAAGAAGAGAAAGAGTAAACTAACAGCAATTTTGTAAGCCTGATGGTGCTATTGAGGAATTTGTGGTAGCACCCTATTTTTGTCAAATTAACATAAGTATAGCATAATAAATGTACAGAAGAGTGTAGGGTAAAGAGCTATGATCTCTAGGCCATCTTGTCACACTACCTCTCAGCCTTCCCAATCTGACTACTATGAGCCAGTTTCTACAATGAATAATATGAAAACTCCATGGTGTGATTGCCACATGGTAATACAATGATTATAGATTATCATGTAATAATATGAGTCCATTTATCAATGGTGGGTAATATATATTGAGTTTGAAATGTGAATTTAATGGATTTATACTGCATTTACCCTTCCAAACTTGAAGTAGATATTTAGTTCTTTAATGGACTGTCTTTGTAACTTTAAGTAATACACTTAAACCTGTTTTTATTAAACTCTTTGTGTCTTGATTTTCCCTCTACAAAATGGAAGTAAGTGTAAAACTTTTAGAAAACTGCTTAGTGTTAGCTATTAGCATATATATTTTTTCCTTCAATTTTGTAGTGATGTATTTTTTACTTTTCTGCCCTGCAATTTAACTCTTGCTCAGTTTCTTTTCGTGTGTAAGTTCATTGTAAAGGTTTTTCTTTATTCCAGCCTTTGGAATAATTGGCTTGTTTTAATTTAGGAGTCTGTGCTATTGAGTGGAAAAACTTACTAAATTAATTATTAATCGTTAATCCAACTTGAAAAAAATGTCATTAACTTAAGCAAAATATTACTCTTCTTTTAAAATTAAAAGGTTCCTAAGTGATATTCCAAGCTCTCAGATTCTTCAGGAAGAGATGAATTGGATGAAGAGGATTCTTTCCAACCTGGGCTCACCTGTTGTGCTTTGCCATAATGACCTACTATGTAAGAATATAATCTACAATGAGAAACAAGGTAGGTATTTGACCTTAGCTGTAAGTAGAGATGAATTCTTTGATGTTCTTTGTGGTCCTTTGATTTTTGTCTCAAATTTAATTCAAATGCAAGGATTGAAAACATGCCTGAAGTCTTTAAATATTTTCTTATAGGGTATAAAGTCATGGTAACTGTACTAATTAGGAATATATATTCTATGTATATTTATATGAACTGTTTCCTAGAGTTGATTTAATAGAAACAGATTGGTTCCTGTTAAGCGAGTTTTAAATGAGACATGATAAAAATGACTTGTTTATAAAATCTAACTATAAAACATATTTGATAACTCATTGTTTGAAAATACACCTGCTTGTAATGGGGTTTATTGAAAAACCAACTGACACTATGCTGCTTTATAAATACAGAAATTTTCTCAGTGTTAGGAAGGACAACAGTATTCGAAACACGTTTCCAGGTTTTCTGTTAACCTGTTTATTATGCTGATTTGTTAGGTAGTTTGATGCTAAGGAGAGGGCCACAGATGGAGGAAATATTTGTACCTACTGAAGTAATAATAAGATCTGGCAAATAGTTTTAATATATTTTGAGGTAGACAGTGATACTTTCTGGTGAAATGTTTTCTTTGATCATATCTTTCTGTATTCAAATTCTCTGTTTTATATTTCAGAAACACTTGGTTGTATTATTATTGGATAGAGTGGTTTGAGGTTTGGTTGCTAAACAGATGTCCTTCAGTACTAAACTGAAATATAAAAATACAATTTTGATTGAAAGATTAGTATGCAAAAAGTCTGTTTGAAACTATGAAGCTATTGCATTTTATAGGAAATCAGTTTTGAAGATAATCATTATAGTTGGAAGATAGTTTTGAATCAAAAGTGTGTTGTTGTGAAGATGCTAAAGCCAAAGAATTCTGATTAAATGGTCATAGTTATGTTACATTAATATTTGTGACCATTATTAATAGATTGTAAGTCGAGACTATTCTAAAAGAGGTGGTGGATATTTGTAACTTGCTTTACTTGAAGAAAACCAAGTAAAGAACACTGTCAAGGGTGGTAGCCTGAAGCATCTATTTTCAAAAACATTTGAGTAACTTTTATACTTGCTATTTTAATGCAGTTTAGAGATTTCCTTATTTAAAAATACACTAAGCTGACATCTTTATTTTGAATATCTGGAAGTTTTTGTATAGAATTATTTTCTTAAAACTTTAGGAGTACCCTAAAACATTAAGTACTTGACAGTGTCCTTTAGTTTATTATTGTCCATTTATTATATATTATTGTCATAGACTATATGTACTACATTATATACTAGTAACCAAATCTCAGTGCCATTTGTGAGACAAGTATTAGTTGTACATTAAAGGAATGTATTAGCTTTTAAGTTCAGTGTAAGACCAAATAACACATTATTTTATGTAATGGAATTTCAAGTGAGGGACTTCATCTTGCGCTTGAAGTGGACACTCAGCTTTATTTTTAACTGCAAGTTAATCAAAGAGAGTCTATTTCCTTTGGAATATAATTTTAACTTTCATACTTTTATGTTTCTTTTGCATATTCATTTCATAGAACAAATTTATTTATAAAACTAAAACAGAAGGGACCAAAAAAATCAGATTACTTTGCCTTAGTTATTAAAAGTACATTTTTATGTTTTAATTTTACCAGTTGCCTATCTAAACTATTGATCAGTGATATGAAAAGTTCTCATATTTTGAAATAAACTTTTATGCTTCAGTTTGGCTTTAGGAATTCAAAATTGTCATTTGTTTATATTTACCAAGAATTACCTAAATCATACTTTTGTGTCTAATTTTTTTTTCTACACAATAAATTTCAAAGTTCAACAAATATTATTTTGATATATATTTTATAGCTTGTCCTTCTTCAGAAGTCTATTATATACCATTTATTTCTTGTCTTTGAGTTTGTTTGTGTGTTAGTTATGGAGATGTTTTGTTGTTTTTACTTACCAATGGTTTTATAGTGTTTGTTAGAAAGGCTAGTGTGAATTCCATGACATCCACTTAAAAAAAATCAATTCTTATGTTATTAGTTGATAAGCATTAAGAAAATGTGGTTGGAATCTTGTGACTAGCCTTTTCTGTTTATTATCTCATTTTGTTTCAAATTAGGAGCTAATTTTTTGAAGTAACATTATGACCTATTTGTCTTTATAAGGGGAAGATACCATGCCTCAGACTTTTCTGTAATGTAAATTCTATAAAATTTAGTAAATTTAGTAGCAAAAATAGACTGTAGCTTAGCATTAGTATTGACTTATGGCTGTAGTCAGAAGAATGATAATTAAAGTGAGAAATATGTATCTCAAAGTTCTTTACCTTAACTCGTCACCTTGTACAGCATCTAAAAGCCAAGTGTTGAATCTTTTGGGGTTAAAATAATTTCTACATAGAATAAATTATTAAGCTGCATATTATGTTCAAAATAAGTTTATCACTTTTTGTAATTTGAGCTCAGGACCTCACCATTTTATACTCACGTATGAGATATAAATATATAAAAATGATAAGATGAAAGCCAAGGAACTGGCCTTGACATCATCAAGCTTAGTATCTCTGTTGTATGTTTTAGATCCTTAATATCTCAGAAGTGCAAATTTTAGTTAAACTTCATGAATTTAAACTGGATCATCAATGTTTCCACATGTATTTTTCAACCATAATAACTTAGATTTTGTATATTATAACTCAGTTTTAAAAATCTTTACGTTAACTCTTAAAAGCAGATATATTAAAGCTTAGTTATAATCAGGAGAAGTTAGAACATAGACTTTTGGAATGGAGCACACCTTGGTTCACATTTCTTCTCAATCTCATATGGAAGCAAGTGGTATTAGATAAGTCAGGGGTGAGAACCTTTTTTCTGCCAAGAGCCATATGGATATTTAGAGCATCATTTGCGGGCCATACAAAATTATCACCTTAAAAATTAGCCTGCTATATTTGGTCAGACATTTAATTAACTCACCCCTAATGCCTTGACAGGGCCAGACCAAATGATTTTGCAGGCTTTATATGGCCCCTGGGCAGGACAATCCCCACCCCTGAGAAAAGTCATTTTATCTCTATATTCAGTGTTTAGATGAGCTTAAGAATCTGCATGTTTAGCAGAGAGTTCCAGGCAGTACCTATATTGCTGATAGTCTAGAACTTTAGTTTGCTTTATTTTCAACTTAGATGATATCTACTTCAGATGGTTTCTGATCATGCTTATCAAGTATATAGCACTGGACTAGGTACTAGGCAGGTCTCAGTTACAGGTATTTTTACCATGAGAAGGGTTGGCAAACTTTTTCTGTAAGGGGTTAGATCAAGCATGTCAAACTCGCGGCCTGTGGGCTGCATGCGGCCCACAATGAATATTTTTGTGGCCCAGCCAAAATAATGGTATGTAAGAGTTTTAATAAAAAATTTCATAACTTAAATTTTTATAATATCCTGCTATACATAATTATTAATAATGAACTACAACGTTTGCTCATGACTGATTACTATAGTCGTGTTGCATTCATTTTCCTTACACGTCTTAGGTGTAGGCGCACCATTTCTCTCCAGTAATACTAGCAGCGAATATTTTAGCAGCCGATTGCCACGTCATTAGTCTTGTACTGATTTGTTTGGTGTGTGCAATAGGAAATATTTTGCTTTCGGAGAACAAGAAAAATGGGTTTATTTGCGTTACGCTTATTTGTGCAGTTATTCAGTGTCTGGTAAGTTAATGTTTAAGAAAAAATCAATTTTTATTAAAATGTTCTATTAGTTTATGCTAACGATTACTCATTTATTTTAGCCCTTTGTATTCAGCATGTGTCTTATCTAAATAAACCTACGTTTCTATGAAAATTGAAGCTTTTGTTTTTATGTGGCCCACATAAACTTAAACCTTGTTTATTTGCCCCTTGTTAGTCTTTGAGTTTGACATGCTTGGGCTAGATAGTACTTATTTTAAGCTCTGCATTCCATATTATAGTCTCTGTTGCAACTGTGCAACTCTGTTGTAGTGCAAACATAGCCTTAGATAATACATAACTATGTCTGGCTGTATTCAGTAAAATTTCTTTTACAAAAGCAGGCAGTGGGCTGGCTGGATTTGGACTCAGCATACATAGTTTGCCAACACCTGTATTTTGTGTCTAGGATCCATTTTATAAAATGTATCTGACTGTGAAAAAGTTAAAATGGTTACTGTAAGTAAGAAGGTTAATTGTGTACTATAACTAGGAGAATTTTGGCTCCTAGGTATGCGATGACAATGCAGTTTGTCTTTCAGTGCAACTTAAAGATTCTATGGTAACTGTACCTTGAGTGATTAATTTAAAGTTTAAGAATGTATGTATGTATGTGTGTATGTATGTATATACTATATAACTACATATTCACATATAGACACACATGAAGACTATGAGCACCCTGCAGTTTATAGGCATTTTCAACTGTGAATGTTATAGGAATGGTAGGCATTACAGGAAGAAATACTGCCACTGCCTCTTCTCACCATGTCAGTTGACAGGACTCAGGAATATGAGAGAAGAGTGAGCTTCCTTTCTGAAGTTGATGGTAGCTGTCAAGATTTTTGAAAAGTTAGTCCCAGAATTTAGGTGGTTTTTAAAAACAGCAGCCCATTTCTCGCCTTCAGTGACATGACTTCTTAAAAAGGTAAGAAAAGACTACTTAATGATATGATGATAGGATTGTTACATAATAAGAAAATCAAAAGCAGTGGTTCTTGCTCCTGAACTGTAAGATAAGACTTACCAGTCACTAGTCATCTTTTAAATTCATCAATGATTAATTTAAAAATAATTTATACTAAGTAGAACAAGTAGTAATAATGTTTATTACCTCCTTTTAAATCTAATATTTTAATTTCAAATAAACCTTTAGTTGCTGACATGTTAGAAATAATTGCTAAAGTTTTTTAGTTTGTTGTCTCATGTCTTAATGCTTTGTCATAGTGTTAACTGGAAGTGGTTTCATTTTCTCCCTCTCCCCATTTCTTCATAAAAGCTCATATAAAGATCTAATACAGTGGGGCCTTGACTTACGAGTTTAATTTGTTCCGTGACGGAGCTCGTAACTCAAATTACTTGTATGTCAAATCTTAAAGTGAACGAGTGAGACACGTGATGCCGGGCTGATGTTGTGGCGTTCACTGTGACGTTCGCTGCGCCAACTAGCGGTGGGGTATCTGAAGCTGGCTCGTAACCCGAATTTTAGCTCGCAACTCAAAGCAAAAAATCGGCCAAGAGACGGCTCGTATCTCGAAAAACTCGTTAGTCGGGATACTCGTAAGTCAAGGCCCCACTGTATATAACTTTAAGTTTCAGGAATGGCAATCATTGTTTATTTGCTATGTCTGCAAAATATAAGAAGCTGAGTTACAGCTATTTAAGGAAATACAACTGAATGGAAAGAAAAGATTTTTCTGGGAATTACAGTGTAAACCAGGTTTTTCTTTAGTTTTACACAATATAAATAGAAAGTTGGTGAGTCACTATTCTTCGTCACTTGATTGGCTCTAAATCCTATCCATTCTGTTATTCATGAAAAGGCATTATTGTGGTTGTTTTACTGACATCTTAATAACTTAGGAGAGAGGTAGTTTTTTATTTTAAAATTTAAATAAATACAAATTTATTTTTGTATTTGGTAACCTATATTTTACAGGGTGGAATTTTTATGAAGGATAGTTAAACTTTGTTTTAACTTGTATTTCAGATCGTAATTGGCATAAAATAAAATATCCCTAAATCAGGTAATAAAAAACTTAAATGGATTGTAAAAATAGCTACCTAAAATAGTTAGTAGTTTAATGTTTTCTGTACATACATTCAGTCTCATTGTATATTCAATCATATACTTGAATATGAATGTCAAAAATGCCACCCTTTGTTTTTTCATGCTTATTCTCCCCACACACATTTAAACGTGTGTTATCATTGTGCCTCCAGCATTCTCTGAAAAACTTTCATTTATTCCACTAGCATTTTAATACTTCCTGTGTGCTAGGTATTGCTCTGTGGATTGTATGATGAAAGATGAGAGGGACTTCCTGCCCTTTCAGGAAGCCATATGCCCTGTAGTGGAGGAGTTGGATTATGAAACAGATATTTACATTCAGAATGATGAGTGCTATGGTAAAGCTACTACTAAAAACCAGAGGGATAGTTTCCCAGAGCAGAGTATTTATTTTTTCTGTGTAAGAAAGAAAGCATGTTGCTAATATTAGTATACTCATAGTACATACATACTGTATGTATAAAACTACAGACGAAGTAGAGTAAGTTAGAAAGATTTTCAGGTTCTTATATTGGTTATTTTACTTTTTATCTTTCCTCCTTTCTTCTTAGCAACAGTAAAATAAAGGAGTCCAAATGAATGTCATGTGAATTATAGTCTTAGTTAATATATATATTTTTGGTTTTAAAGTACTTTAAAAATGGGCTATTTTCAGCTATACTGAGATTTTAACAATTTGTTTAGGTAGTGAGTAGATTTTATTACTGTGAAGATATACAAGAAATATAGTAATGAAAAATGTAGCTTTTAAAAATTGAATAAATTATTTTATTCAATAATCTTACGCTTTACCTATTATGCACTAGTCCGTGTGGTAATTAATAAAGATAAATAATATATAGTCTTAGCCTTTAAAGCACTACTCCTTTACTTTTCAGAGGTCAAGGATCCCTTGAGAATTTGGAGACTTGAGAATCCCCTCAGAAAATGCATATACATATAAAATGTTGTATAAAAATTTAAGGAGTATTCTCATTTTTTTCCATCCTTAAAATCCTATTAAAACTTTGTTTTAAAGAAATAACAAGATAATCATGCCATATAAACTATTGATTGTTAATAGTGATGTCGACGTTCCTCTAAATAATTGGAAATTTTAGAAGTCAGAAGTTAAATTTGTAGAAGAAAAAAGGTTTAGTATGCTTTCTGTTAGTAGAAAGCATTTTGTAGTAATTTGATTTTTCTGGCACCCAAAGTAAGGGAAGTAGGCGTCTTTAATTTTACTTTGTTGCAGAAGATTAAATTTAAGGTTGAGTTCCACTTTGTTTGCAATAGTTTGAAAAAGAATAGTTAATGCGGATTTAAAAATTTTTTCCTTTTAAGCTTTGTGTCTTGTAAAATGTGAGTTTGCCAAATTTTCTTCATCTGCTACAGATTAGGTATGCCATTGTTGCTGCCATGTGGCGGCGCACCCCGTGCTTCTTAAACGCACTGACTGGAGGTTTATCGCATCACTTGTTCACATGCACGGAGCCTGGTAACAGCCTCATCTGTATCTTCTTAGCTTCATTTTCTTATTTTTAAAATTTCATTATTTATAAACTGGACATAGCATATAAAAATAAAGGATAGTTTTAATGAATTAATGCTACTACAAAAAGTCATTGCTAAAACATTCATACTGAAACAGATTTTAACTGTTATTAAAATGATCTATGCTTTATTTAAGTTGTATTTATAAGCAGGCATGTTTTACCTGCCATTTTAACTTATTTGCCAAATTCTAAATATAATTTTGAAAGTTGAAATAGAAACTTGTTATGTGGCAAGTAAACTTCAGGACTGGGCTGTGTATTTTTATTGGCATGTAACAGTTAATATGAGCTTTACAAGAATTTTATGTTTAAAGAGCTAAAACAATCAACAGCTGCAATGAAAACATTTTAATATTAAAACTGTTTCGTTAGTTCAGTTGTGCAACTTGGTAAATCTTGAATTCTGATTTCATGTAGACCAAGTGAATAGGCATCTCCCAAATCATTGTGTTTTAGTCTCTTACCTATCTACAGTTTTGTAAAGAATTCATCTTAATTTTTTAAACTGTCTTTTTTTCCCCTCTTAAAAGTATGTTTATTGTAAAGGATTTAAAATATAAAGGGAAAAGGGTCATTTGTCACTGGTAATGAGACCAGTTGAAATATTTTATTTTGGTTTTATTTCCACTCATCCCCCCGCCCCATGTATTATTTTTATTTATTATTTCCTCTTTAGGCATAATATTTTAATAAATTGGATTATTGGCATTTACTATTTTGTATCTTTTTCATATAACATTTCTAATTCTCCTAGTCATTAAATCATCTTTGAAAATGAAAAAAATTTTTCATGGCTGCAAAGTGTTTTATCATGATAGTGATCTTCACTCTCATTCCCAAGGGTAACCAGAAAATAATTTAAATATATTTTATTAATTTTTTTTACAGAGAGGAAGGGAGAGGGATAGAGAGTTAGAAACATCGATGAGAGAGAAACATCAATCAGCTGCCTCCTGCACACTCCCTACTGGGGATGTGCCCGCAACCAGGGTACATGCCCTTGACTGGAATCGAACCTGGGACCCTTGAGTCTGCAGGCCAACGCTCTATCCACTGAGCCAAACCGGTCAGGGCCAGAAAATAATTTAAAGTGATTGGTTGAAACACGCTCTGTCTTCTCATTCTACACTTTAGTAGAGTGATTTGGTTAACTTTAAGACTTTCCATGGGATTATTTTTTGTGAACTCAGGAATATAATATTTATGATGTTTGAATTGCAGTGTTTTATTGTAGTTACCAACATTTTAAAATCTTATTTATTTTGTCAGTATGCATACAGATTTTGATAACTGAGCTTTGATACTTAGATTCTCACTTTACTTTAGACTTGACTATTATTTATACAAGTTTATAAGGATATATTAAATACAGTTACATTAAAAATTTACTTTTATGTAAAATACTTCATTTGCTGTGACTTTTTTTGTCATAAATTCTGTTTTTCTGAGTTTGAATATGATCAACATATATCCCAAATTAAACATACATATATGTATCAAGATATTATAGTTCAAAAGATCTTTTTTTGGGAGGGAGGAAAGCCAGTGTGTATAAGACCAGGAGTTTGTTACCTTAGTATGATCTATCTTTAAAAGACGGGGTAACCAGGCATATGCTTTTTATTTTCACAATTGCAGCTTACAAACTCTTCTTACAGTTTCTCTGTTTATGTATTCATTTTAACTGTTGGCCCTTGTAAGCCTTTGAGTTTATGATATCTGGTATAAATAGTGTGACCCATTTAGATTCATATTCTCTCTCTCACTCTCGGTCTCTCTTGCTCTCAACATTTTCTCTTGTCTCTTAAAATCAACAACATGAATCTGTTGAGTCTCAGATCTCCTATAGTAGTCAGTGTACCTTTGTTTTTTTAGAAAAGATAAAACAACCACTTTAATGCTGCTCAGGTATGTATTAGAAACTTTAGTTATATCGCATTCTAAGACAATCTTAAAACTTGATTGCAGCTAAATTCTTTAATTAGGGATATTGTTAAGTTGATCAGCAAGTGTTAATAGCATAACTGCAGGATTCACAGAATTCAAGTCTTTCAAAGTTTATATTTGATTCCTATATGTAGGTTAGCTTGTTAGTTCACTTGTTGGAGTATCAGATTTTTAAAAAATATTGCTTAGATAATAATTTCCAAAGATAGTTTTCATTTCTAATTAAACTTGAATTTTTAAGTAACTGATGCCCCCATGTGGTGAAAGACATTTTGCTTTTGTTTGAATTTGGAGAATGACTGTGTACAGTATTTTGACTTTTCTTAATTATAGTGAACATTAATGTTCATAAAGAAGCTGTTGACAAGGATACATAATTGAATTTTGTAAAGCTCATTTGCCATAAATTCACAGCCTTACCCTGTATTGTCTCAGAAGTGCATGTAACCAAGCACGTACAATGAGACAAAATATTAAAAGCTATTTAATTACAAATAGCTTAGGGTTTTTCTGATCTTATATGTGATTTCTTATGTCTTTGTTTTTGTGTCTCACATAGGTGATGTACAGTTCATTGATTATGAATATTCTGGATACAACTACCTGGCATATGATATTGGAAATCATTTCAATGAATTTGCAGGTAAAATCCAGGGCTTAACTAGTGGAATAGCATAATGTAACTTTGATCTGACACTTTTAGAATTTTTTTTTCTTTAAAATAGATAAACTGGGAAGAGGAGCAAAATTCTATTAACATTTTTCTGATCTTCGTTCTTTATTTGTTTTTATTACTGGAGGATAGAGAAGACTTCTTCATTAATGTCTTAAGGGAAATCTATAATAATAAAAGCACAATATGCTAATTAGATCGGACATCCTTCCAGACGTCCTTCTGGATGACCTTCCAGACTAAACCGGGGCTGCGAGGGAAGCCCGGGTCCCAGCTGCCAGAGGGAAGCGGTACCGGCAGGGGGGGAAAGGAAGGCCTACTCTTGCATAAATTTTGTGCATCAGGCTTCTAGTAAGAAATGATTATTGAGGCTTTTATTAGGACCTGACACAGTGCAAGGTGCTTTACAAGTCTTATTTTACTTTATTTTTTTTCTCTACAACAATTTTTTAAGTTAGGTAATATTTCCAGTATACAGATGAGGGAAATAACTCATCAAGGGCACAGTAAAATACAGAGACTATGATTTGAAACCAATTTTAAAAATAATTTAAAAGCCTTCGCTATTTCCATTGTGTAATTGGGCTTTTGAAATGTTGGTTAATTAAAAAGCCTGAGGGTTTTTTTTGTGTGTGTTTTTTTTGTCTTTGACTATGAATAATTGAAAAGCTGATCATTTTTGCCCCTGAAAGTTATTCCATTAGTACTGTCAAGTATAAAAGGTTTAGGTTTTCTAATGTAAATGGAATTAATTTAAAATACATTTTATGACTATACTTAGAAACATGAAATGCTCTAGAACTAAGGAATAGGAAATTCCCCTCGATGGTTTACACCTAGTAGGAATTTTTCATTGCTGAATTTGTGTTTGTATACATTCATGCATTCATATATTTTAATATACTTTAGGTTACCAGCTGGAAAAAAAGTTGAGGAAAAGTTTCAATTTACATGTATTCAATAATTTCCCTACACCATGCTTATCATATGCATGTCATATCTCTACATATATACTGTACATATTTCCACATCTCTGTAGGAAGGGAAAGCAGCTGTTTATATAATGAATAATCATTGTGTTAGTATTAAGGATAGTCACTGCTATGGATATGAAAGAGGAAACTTCACTGATCTTAGTATGATTTTGTGTAGAAAAGAAATTAAACTATAAATTGAAAGGTAGCATAGAAAAAAGGTAACACTTGAGAGTTAGGTAGCATTTGCATGTACAGATAGAAGAGAAAGGAGGGTACTATAGGAAGAAGGGAGAAAACTTCCAAGATGAGTGTACTTATTTTTGTAGGATATGAAATTCATGCAGGAGAATAGGTTATAAGATCAGAGAAGTAAATTTGGACCAAATTACGAAGAACCTTGAATGCTAGGCAAAATAGTATGAACTTTATCTTCTGGGCTAGTTTTTGAAAACTGCAGATGATAAGATCAAATTTGTGGGGTAATTATTTTAAAGCAAGGACCAGAAAATAAGTAGTAGAAAATGTTGGAGTTGGAACATATAGCTAGGGTAAATATGGTTTGTAAAACTTAATATCAGGTATATGTAGGAGGTTTCAATATAAAATGTCTTTCTTACCCTGTGAGCAATAGTCAAGAAAGATTTTGAGCCACCGTTGTAGGAAATGCTGTAGATATTAATGTCCACAAGAATCTTCTGGGCTGCTTAGTACAAAGATTCGGTGCTTCTGATGCAGGTAGTTCAAGCTTCACACTGAGGAAAAATTGAAGCAATGTGAATTGATGATGGTGGTCAACTGTATTGTGCATTCAAACTTAAATATACATTATGATTGTTTGGTTTATTTTAATACATGCTAATTAAATCTAGTATTTCAGCCAGATGTTTTATTTTTTTTCTATGAAAATTATGTAGATAGTAAGAATAATTAAAAGTATACATAAGAGAATGTGTTTTTAAAATTTTCATTGCACTTTTTTTTTCACTTTAGGTGTGAGTGATGTAGATTATAGTCTCTACCCAGGTAGAGAACTACAGGACCAGTGGCTGCGTTCTTACCTTGAAGCCTACAAAGAATATAAGGGCTTTGGGACTGAAGTTACTGAAAAGGAGGTAGAAAAACTCTTCATTCAAGTCAATCAGTTTGCTTTGGTAAGTTTAAATTTTAACAAAAGATTCTTCATACGATTTAACAACTGTTTAAATTTTCATCTTATAAAACAGTTTTCTGTTTTGAATTTTGTGAATTTTTGTTCAAAATAATGACAAAATGCGATTCTTTGCAATTTTTTCCACTATAGTATTTTTTAGGACAAAGATTTTGTTTTATTCACAACTATATTTCCAACCCCTAGAACAATAGTGCCTGGCTATTTGATAAGTGCCCAGTAATTATTTGTTTAATGAATGGATTCCAGTTAGAGTTAGGATTAATTGTGAATCAGTGTTTGTATATTATATTAGAGGCCCAGTGCATGAAATTTGTGCACAGGAGGGGTGGGGGAAATCCCTCACCCCAGACTGCATCCTCTTGCAACCTGGGACCCCTCGGGGCAGTCGGACATCCCTCTTGCAATCCGGGACCGCTGGCTCCTAGCTGCTCGTCTGCCTGCATGCCTAATCGACCCTAACTGCCTCTGCCTCGGCCACCTCTGCTGGAGCTTTGTCCGGAAGATTGTTTGCTGTCTGGTCTAATTAGCATATTATGCTTTTATTATTATAGATGTCTTCTCTTTTCTTTATGTTATGAAAAGCATACTCAAGGACAAATTATTGGCAAACAAGGTTTTCCACAATGCATTTATCATTACATCTTAATGTTAACATGGTAAAAGTTTATTGGTTTTATAACTTCAGTTTGTCGTTCTTTTAAGTAAAATACGGTTTTCCATTATACATGTTCAAGTTGAGCTCACAACTCAAGTCATTTAAATGCTTTTCTTGAGATAATCACCATTTTTTGGGTATGTAGTAGACGTGCTTTATATGTGCTTTCTATGTAATTTCATAGAATGTTAGAGTAGCATGCACTCGGGTAGAGATTTAATAAAATTAATAATTTTAAAGATTTCATTAAGGACATTCTTTAGTGAGACTGACTTTTTACTCTTGAGTGTGTGGTGATGAAGAATATAGGATACTACACTAATACAATTTAGTATCACTGCCTTGACTTATGCTAAGGTACCAGTAGCTTCATACACCATTGTTTTTGAACCATCAGTGCAAATGTTAACATAGTCAAAAAGGCAGGTGTAACATATTAGGAAAGTAGTTATGGGTCTCAAGAACCTCTCATGGATTTGATGGACAGCTTTGAGAACCCCGGGTTTGTTTAGACTTTCCAAAAAAAAAAAAAAAAAGGCATCCTATATAATAAAAGGGTAATATGCAAATTGACCCTAATGGTGGAACGACTGGTCACTATGATGCGCACTGACCACCAGGGGGCAGACACTCAATGTAGTAGCTGCCCTTCTGGTGGTCAGTGCACTCCCACAGGGGGAGCTCCACTCAGCCACAAGCTGGACTGATGATTGCGAGCGCAGCAGTGGTGGCGGGAGCCTCTCCCGCCTCCTTGGCAGCGCTAAGAATATCCGACTGTGGGCCTAAGCCATCAGTCGGACATCCCCCAAGGGCTCCTGGGCTGCCAGAGGGATGTCTGACTGCCAACTTAGGCCACATCCCCCGGGGAGCGGGCCTAAGCCGGCAGGTGGACATCCCCTGAGAGATCCCGGACTGCGAGAGGGCACAGGCCGGGCCGAGGGACCCCCCCAAGTGCACAAATTTTTATGCACCGGGCCTCTAGTTTCATCTCATAATTTACTTCTCATTATATGTGTAAGATACTTAGGTAAAAAGAAGGTCATTTAAAAAATCTTGATCATTATAATTTAACATAGTAATTAATATTTTATTGAATGTTTGTTATATCAGAGGTATAGATACTATTATTACTACTCTGATGTGTGTTATTTTTACACTGTCAAGTAATTTTCCAATTCTCAGCAGAAGTGACTGAGTGTCCTACAAATTTAACTCAGTTCTGGAGATAGTGTCAGATCCCACAGGTTAAGGGTTCAATCCCACAAGACTGTCTGTTTGTTGTTGTCCCTCCTGCCCCTCTTGAATGCTAATTGTGAGTCTAGGTTGTTTCCTGTGCTTCTTACCTACTGTCGGTAAATTCCAGAACTCCTTCCTTGGGTTTGATTTATGTTTTAGAGTGGCTCACAGAACTCAGCAACATTCACAGATGCTTGCCAGTGTATTATGAAGGATAATATAAAGGCTATATAAGAATAGCTAGATTAAGAGGTACATTGGATAAGGTCCAAGGTGCACCAACCTCCCAGCATGTCTATGTGTTCACCAACTTGAAAGTTCTCAAACCCCCTCCTTTGGAGATTTTATAAAGGCTCCATTACATAGGCAATATGGATTAAGTCATTGACCATTGCTGATTGAACTCAATCTCCAGCCCCTTTCCTCAAAGATTAGGAGGTGGTGGGGCTGAAAGTTTTCTCTCTAATCACTTGGCAGGTTCCCCTGGCAACCAGCTCTCTTTCTTAGGGGCTTTCCAGAAGTAACCTCATATTGTAAACTCAAGTGTGGTTGAAAAGGGCTTCTTATGGCTTACTAGAGACCTGATGCACGAAATTCATGCAATGGGCTCAGCCCCTGCCCGCCGCGGCCGGAAGGACGTCCAGAAGGACATCCAGTCTAATTAGCACATTACGCTTTTATTATTATAGATAAGAATTTCTTAAACTTCTGTGACTCAAGAATTATTCAGGAACCTGTGACGAGAGACCAAATATTATAACAAAAGATGCTCCCATTTTGCTTATGCTTAGGAAATTCTAAGGATTTGGGGGGGCTATGAGCCAGGAATAGTGGATGAGGAACGAAAATATATTTATTACAAAGCATAATATCACATGTGCCTTTTACACATGAGAAAACAAAGGCACAAAGGAGTTAAACTGCTCTAAGCCACAAAGCTAATAATTTTTGCAGTTTGACTCCAGAGCCCAGCTTTTCTGTTTTAAACCAATATGTTTCCCATGCATGTGACTTTAGCTGTTTACTCTTTACTATATTATTTATTCTTTTTTAAAAATATTTGTATTTGATGGGAACTATTTGATTCGTGCACTGGTGGGGTCCCTTGGCCTGGCCTGTGGGAATCAGTGGACTTCCACGTCACTGCAGCCTGGCTTTACCCACCAGCTCATCGGGCTCCAGCCCGCTGTCTGCATTGATCCTGCACAGCACGAAATAGTGTGCGAAGTGGCAGGCGGCCAGGGAGGAGCCCAAGCCCGGGCTGGGTGCTGTGCCTCATGCTCATCCGGCCCACTGCACCTGCCACCGCCGCTGGGCGCACAGGGGGAGTGTCCGTGGGAGAGGCTCGCGCTGCTGCAGCTGCTCTCACCAGCTGTGAGCCCAGTGTCTGGCACCCATCTGTCAGCTAAGCAGCACTCCCACTGTGGGAGCACACTGACCACAAGGGCAGCTCCTGCGTTGAGCGTCTGCCACCTGGTGGTCAGTGTGCATCATAGCTACCGTCCGGTCGTCCATTCACTTAGGCTTTTATATATATAGATTAATGATACGGTATAATGAATTGCAACAATATATTTTAAATAAAGATTTTTATCAGCAACACACTTTAAAAATTACATTTATTGGAATGACACTGGTTAATAACACAATATAGGTTTTGAGTATACATTTTTATGATACAGGATCTGTATTTTGTACCACCCAAAGTCAAATAATCTTCCATCACCACATATTTCACTCCCTTTACCCTCACCTCCAACCCCCTTCCCTTTAGTAACCACCATACTATTGTCCATGAGTTTCTTGTTTGTTCGTTTGTTGTTTTTGGTTTTATACCCTCCATATGAGTGAGATCATATTATTCTAAATCTTTTCTCTGATTTACTTTGCTTAGCATGATTTTCTCAAGGTTCATCCATGTTGGTGCAAATGGCAATATTTCATTTTTTTTATGGCTGAGTAGTATTCCATAGGGTATATGTACCACTGTTATTTTAAATTGATTTTTAGAGAGAGAGAGGAAGGGAGAGAGAGAAATATCCATGTGTATCTAAGCATTGATTGGCTGCCTCCTGGCAGGGATTGAGCCCGCAACCCCAGCATGTCCCCTAACTGGGAATTGAACCTGCATCCTTTTGGTGTATGGGACAACGCCCAATCAACTGAGCCACACTGTACAGGGCTGTATCACTTTTCTTTTCTTTTTTTTTTTTAATTTTGTTTTATTGCTTAAAGTATTACAAAGAGTATTACATATGTCGCCTATGTTCATGAGGGATATTGGCCTGTAATTCTCTTTCATTGTGTTGTCTTTACCTGGTTTTGGTATTAGGGTGATGCTGGCTTCATAGAATGAGCTTGGAAGTGTTCCTTCCTCTTGGATTTTTTGTAGTAGTCTGAGGAGGATAGGTTTTAGTTCTTCCTTGAATGTTTGGTAAAACTCCCCTGTGAAGCCGTCTGGTCCTGGGCTTTTGTTTGCTGGAAGCTTTCTGATGACTGCTTCAATTTCTTCCATAGTTATTGGCCTGTTGAGATTTTTAGATTCTTCCTGATTAAGTTTTGGAATGTTGTATTTTTCTAGAAATATGTCCATTTCCTCCAGGTTGTCTAGTTTGTTGGAGTAGAGTTGTTCATAGTATTTTTTAACAATCATTTGTATTTCTGTGGGGTCTGTTGTTATTTCGCCTCTATCATTTCTGATTTGGTTTATTTGGGTCCTCTCTCTTTGCTTTTTGGTGAGCCTGGCTAGAGGTTTGTCGATCTTGTTTATCCTTTCAAAGAACCAGCTCTTGGTTTCATTGATTTTCTGTATTGTTTTTTTGGTCTCTATGTCATTTATTTCTGCTCTAATCTTTATTATCTCCTTCCTTCTGCTCACTCTGGGCTTTTCTTGTTGCTCTCTTTCTAATTCTTTGAGCTGTAGATTTAGATGATTTACTACCATTTTTTCTTGTTTGTTGAGGTAGGCCTGTAGAGCTATAAACTTCCCTCTCAGGACTGCTTTCATTGTGTCCCAAAGGTTTTGGATTGTTGTGTTTTCATTGTCATTAGTTTCCAGGATGTTTTTAATTTCTTCTTTGATCTCATTGGTAACCCAATCAATATTTAATAACATGCTATTCAGCTTCCAAGTGTTTGAGTATTTTGGGTTGTTTTTATTGTAGTTTATTTCTAATATTATGCCCTTGTGGTCTGAGAAGATGCTTGGTATGATTTCAATCTTCTTGAATTTGGGGAGACTTTGTTTGTGACCCAATATGTGGTCTATTTTTGAAGATGTCCCATGAGCACTTGAGAAGAACGTATATTTTGTTGCTTTGGGGTGAAGTGTTCTGAAGATGTCAATTAAGTCCATCTGATCTAGTGAGTCATTTAGGATTGCTGTTTCTTTGCTGATTTTTTGTCTAGCAGATTTATCCAGTGATGTCAGTGGTGTATTAAAGTCCCCTACTATGATTGTATTGTTGTCGATCTCTCCCCTGATGTCTTCCAGGAGTTTTCTTATGTATGTGGGTGCTCCTGCATTGGGTGCATATATGTTTATCAGGGTTATATCCTCTTGTTGTATTGATCCCTTTAGTACTATGAAGTGGCCTTCCTTATCTCTTGTTATGGCCTTCACTTTGAGGTCTATTTTGTCCGATATAAGTATTGCTACCTGTATCACTTTTCTTTATCCAATCATCTTTCGAAGGACACTTTGGTTGTTTCCATGTCTTGGCCACCGTGTATAATGCTGCAGTGAACATAGGGGTGCATATATCTTTGCCAATAACTGTTTTCAAGATTTTTCAGGTAGATATTCAGAAGAAGGGTTGCTGGGTCATATGGTAACTATATTCTTAATTTTTTGAGGAACCTTCTTACTGTTTTCCATGGTGGTTTTACCAGTTAACATTCCCACCATCAGTGAATGAGGGTTCCTTTTTCTCCACACCTCTCCAACACTTGGTATTACTTATCTTGTTGATAATAGCCATTCTAACAGTGTAAGGTGTCACCTCATTGTAGTTTTGATTTTCATTTCCATAACAGCTAATGAAGTTAAGCATGTTTTCATAAATCTTTTGGCCACTTGTATGTCTTCTTCAGCGAAGTGTCTGTTCCGGTCCTCTGCCCATTTTTTAAATGGATTGTTTGTTTGTGTGGTGTTGAGCTGTATGAATTCTTTATATATTTTGGATATTAGCACCTTGTTGGAGCTGTTGTTTCCAAATATCTTCTTCCATTTGGTTGGTTGCCTTTTTGTTTTGTTGGCTATTTCTCTTGCTGTGCAGAAACTTTTTAGTTTTTTTTTCTTTATATTTTATTGATTTTTTACAGAGAGAAAGGGAGAGGGATAGAGAATTAGAAACATCGATGGGAGAGAAACATCGATCAGCTGCCTCCTGACACCTCCTACTGGGGATGTGCCCGCAACCAAGGTACATGCCCTTGACTGGAATCGAACCTGGGACCTTTCAGTCCGCAGGCCGACACTCAATCCACTGAGCCAAACCAGTTAGGGCGCTTTTTAGTTTTATATAGTCCCATTCATTTATTTTTGCCTTTACTTCTCTTGCCTTTTGGGTCAAATTTATAAAATTTCCTCTAAGACTAAGATCATAAGTTTAATACCTATCTTCTATATAGTTTATTGTTTTGGGTCTTATATTTAGGTTTTGATCCATTTTGAGTTAATGTTTGTGTATGGGACAAACTGTAGTCTAGTTTCATTCTTTTGTTTGTGGCTTTCCAGTTTTCTTAGCACAATTTGTTGAAGAAGCCTTTTCCCTCCATTTTATGCTTGTGGCTCCTTTAAACTACAAAACATTATTTAAAAAGGTTGAAAAAACACACAATGAAATGGAAAGATATTTTGTTTATGGGTTGGAAGAATCAACAATATGTCCTAAAGCAATACACAGTTTCAATGTAAGCCCTATCAAAATGCCAATGAAATTTTTTAAAGAAATAGAATAAAAAATCATCAGATTTGTATGGAACTACAAAAGACCCCGAATAGCCAAAACAATCCTGAGAAGAAAGAATGAAGCCCTAGGTATCACATTCCTAACTTCAAATTTTACTACAAAGCAATAATAATCAAAACAATGTGGTATTGACAGAAAAATAGACACAAGGACCTATGGAACAGAATTAAGAGTCCAGAAATAAACCTACATGTATTTGGGTAAATAATTTATAACAGCGGACTTTTTAAAAGCGATCTTTTTAGGGTAAAAGTTTTTAAAATAATACTTCTAGTTAGAGTATTTTTTGGAAGTTTTATTGGTGTTTTCAGAATCTTCAAATACCATGTTTAACTGGCAATGATCATAAAGCGTGCATACAATGATTTTACAGCTCCTAATTACACAGCTATTTGTTTTCTCCTAAGACCCATTTTTCTCTAACATAAATAACGTATTTTATGTTGTGGTTGGTATGCAGAATTATTGGATCAATACAAATTGTTTCCAGATGTTTGTCATCCCCTAGAACATTCTTCACATTAAATTTTTTTTTTTTTGGTTTGAGATTTGGATTTTTTATTTTGTTTATATTTTTATGTCAAGTAACCAAGTCCTTTGATAATGTATTTTATATGAGAGGTTGTTATCAATTAATATCATTAAAAACTCTTTGCCAAAAAAAAAAAATAAGCTTGAATAAAAACACCACTTAACCAACACCTATTAGTGCTGAAGCTGAACTCTGCCTACGTAAAATAGATTATAGAAGTTGGGTTACAGTTTCTAAATGACAGTAGTTTATTATAGCCTCTTTTGGTATAGACAAAAGTGATTAATAGCTACCTAGATAACTGTACACTTAATTATTACCTTATTTTAGATATTTTATATAAAAAAGCATCAATAAAGTATTTTTTATGAAATTGATTAAAAAGGGAAAAATCAACAATATGATATTTGCTTTACAAAGAAATGAATTGTTGCCTGGCCTGTGTAACTCCATGGTTGATCAACTCATGCACCAAGAGGTCAATGGTTTGATTCCAGGTCAGGGCACATGCCCAGGTTGCGGGCTTGATCCCTGGTAGGGGGTATGCAGGAGGCAGTCGGTTGATGTTGATGTTTCTCTTTCATCAATGTTTCTATCTTTCTTCCCTCTCACCTCTCTCCCTTCCGCTCTCTCTAAAAAAAACAAAAAAAAAATCAAAAAGAGAAATGAATTATTATAATTCTTGTTTTTTCTGCCTTTCTTTTTAGGCTTCTCATTTCTTTTGGGGATTGTGGGCTTTGATTCAAGCCAAATACTCCACTATTGAGTTTGATTTCCTTGGGTAAGTTTAATTTTACTGTATGCATTATATTTGTCTCTACTTTCTTTTGAATTAACATTGAAAACTCATGGGGGACATTGTAGTTACTATTTTCAATCAAATGTTATAAAGGATACATACATTTAATAAATGGTTTGAGAGGAAATCTGGTTTAATCTGTTAAATGCACTTAATATTAGAAAGCTGTCCAGTAGGTGGTGCAATAAACTAAAAATATGTTCTTTGAAAAAAATTGTAAAACTTAAAAAAAATTTAGTTGAGGGGTAAGTGGAAATAAAGGGAGGATTAAGTTTTCAGCTTTGACTAATTTTGTTATTCTTTTTTTCTCACTAGGTATGCAATTGTTCGTTTTAACCAGTACTTTAAAATGAAGCCTGAAGTGACTGCATTAAAAATGCCTGAGTAAAGATGTAATTATTCTCAAGTAGCTGAACAATGCTTGTGAATCTTTTCTTGAGAAATTCCGAAAAGCCAATTACTAAGATTCTATTATTTAATTTGGTTATCTTGCTTTACAAATTACGCCTCTATCAACCAATTTGTTTTTTAAATAGACTGAATGATGTAAAAAAAATATACCTACTGCTGTCAGTATGCAGTAGATTAGAAATTTGTTAAATCTACAAATAGGTATAAAGATGTCAGTTTAGTCTTTTTGATAATTTAATCTGCTATATGTGAATTATTTATTATAAATGTAACATGATTCTGTGACTGCTTTCATCTATTTCATCTGTTAAGTGTAAGCAATGAAAATGTTCCAGAGGAAAACATTTTTCTTTTACTTTAATAAGATTAATTTTAGTTAAAAGTTCTAGGTGTTCATTGAAACTTTTTTATCTTGATGCACTGTAAGTAAAATGGATCATTTACTCTTGAAATGCCAGACACTGGTATAGATAGGATGTTCTTTGAAAAATACCTGTTTAGGAGTGTGGGACACTTTCACTATCTATGGTAGTGGTACATCTTTTTGAACTGAATATTGGAAACTGTTTCTTTGGGGGGAATTTACCTTAGAATTTAATTCTCCTCTCCCTACAGAGTCTGGCAGTATAAATATTTACTGTATAATCCTAGAACAGATAGGATGATTTTGTGTCACCAAAATCTGCATTTAATAATATTCTCATATACTAAATGTGGTCATTTAAGTTACTAGTTTGCTTTTAAGATTTTAGTGTATCAAGTTTTTTCTAACCAAATGTTTTGTTTTACATATTGAGATGTTCTATGTCTTTGTTATTAAATAATAGCTAGTAGAACAATTGCTAATATTGGAAACAAAGATAGAATATTTATCATATGTGGGAACAAGAAAATGTCATTTAGATTAATTCTGTTTTACCCCCGTAGATTCATTTTTTACATTTTGGTTTCATGTTTTAGTTTGGCTCCATATCTTTGGAATGATAGCAAATGATTGCTTGATACATGTAGGTTCAGAGAAGTTGAGGTGTTAAAAGAATTAAATAAGGAACATTTAAGGCATTGATCTTGTACACTTAAAATCTGATATATCAAAATGTGAATTAAGCAGAAATACTCCTTGTAGGAAGGATTCTGTTTTTATTTCTCTTGATTTTGTTTGTATATTTTTTTTATTTTGTTTTGGAGTGAGGATGGTAATAATTATATGGAAGGGAGTTAGATCTTTGGGATAAGTAAGCTTCATGTTTTGAAGACTGCCGTGTGGAGTTGAGTAGTCATGGTTGTCTTTACTTAGAAAATTAGTCTGACAAGCTTTTCACTTTGGTCACATAAGTGCCCATGTACAAAGTTGGCTTAATGGATCTGCATATTCAGAATATGCAACTACAAATTATCCTCTGAGAAATCTTCTGGAGCGTCTGATATATTATTCCAAATGACTTGTATTCTCAGATAAGTGCTTTAAAATACTTGGGTTATCTCAAGATGTTTAAAGGTAATTAAGTAGAAACACTTAAAGGCCATTTTAAATGGTAAATTCTAGTTACATAAATAGAATATAAAAATCTGTTTATATCTATAACAGTGTTAGACCAAGATTTGTTTTCTACCTCCCCAATGTTAAAAATGTTCACTTCTGTTTTTATAAACCACATTGTTGTAGAATCAATAGAATTTTACTTAATTGACTGAATGGAACCAATTAAACAATGAATACCTTTTTATATAATGTTAGAGTGTACTTGAAAAATTGTTTTTGGTGGGATTTTCATCTGTGGTTGGAATATTATTTTAGTATATGTGCTGCCGAAGCGAGCACTGTGGTTGGAATATTATTTTCAACGATGAAGAATATGTAATACTCTTAATTTTTTTTGCTTTCTGACTTCTTAAAGTGCAACAGTATATATTTGCAATGGAGGAGAGAAGATCATTTTTCTACCTTATTCCATATTCTTCAAACTGTTTTGAATAGAGATTCACTGAGTCATTGCTGATAAACTGTGCATACTAGCTGTGACACTATAATAAACATTTCAGATAGATTCATATAGAAGTGAATGTAAAGGGTAATAAAGGCTCTCAGTCTAGTCCTAGGAGTATCCGGTGGATCTTGGGAACATAATCAGATAGTTAAAGTGTTTCCCTCACTCATTGGTTAGATTTTGGATGTTGTGATGCTCCCAGTTCTGTACAGATCTTTTTTGGATCATGCTGCAGGCTATTAATAGGGTTCAAAATTGCTTTCCTTTTTGTTGACCATTTAAGAGATTCTAAAGGAAAGACATCTCTCTAAAATGTGTCCTGTGGCTTCTTGAGATGTCTGTTGCCTTTTTATGTTAAGCTAAGGAACTTGAATGCCTTACCTAATAACTCAACTTGTAAGCTCATTTTGTAAATACGAAAATGGTTGTTAGAAAAGTGGCATTCATGTATACTCATTATTTGTCAATAGACCATAGTGGCCTGGATGCTTTAACAAGCAGAATTCCACAATTTTTTTCCTCTTTGTTCTTTACATACTTGTTAGAGTTTACCTGACCAGTAATATTTGATTCCCCCACCTCCCAACACCCAACCCCATGCTACCAGCATTTTCTGGAAATCAAAGAGATGTGGTAGTAAATCATACTGTTCACATGATCATTTGAGATCAAAACGAGCACAAAACTCATCAACTAGGTCTGCCTGGAATGTATATAAAACTGTAAATAAAAAATTGTAAATTAGTGTGAATTGTATCTTGCATATGAGATTGTGTATTGTTTTTCATTCTCTTCCCTTTTAAAGAAAATTTTCTGTAAGGAACTGATCCAGTTCTTTGGTTTTTATACTGGAAACAGCCAGCAGTTCTGGCTGCAGAGCAGGATAACAAGAGGAACTGGAGATAGGGTTTATCAGTTTTTGTTAATGTCAGTACTTATTTATTTAGCCTCTCGGTGCCTAATATGACTTTTCTTCATTCTTTAGTTGTTCATTAGTTTTTGTGAGGTTAGATTCCTGCAAGTGATCAATTAATATGCACAGAATTCCATTCCATGATTTCAAGCTAAAGCAAATTAAAAATAAAATTTAATGATTGCAAACTGAAGTATTATCACATCCTATTTTCAATGTTAACTTTTTTCTACAATAAAAACAAAATATATGAAATTTTTGATATCTCAATGTGAATCTAAATCCCATGTATACAAGAGATAGGTAAATAATAGCTCTTAGTTCAACCAAAGCATATCTCATGTGGCTTCTCTAGATATAAAGTTGTTTATTATGGGATTGTAAACAACAAAAAGATGTAATATTTTAATGATTGCTATTTACTTTTATTTTTTTTTTGCTGGACTAAAAATATTTGAACTTCATAAATATGTTACTAAAACTTTCAGAGTTAAAGAAAAAAGTCCTCACACACTTTGTTACAAGTTAAAAACCCCCACTTTACTAATTATATAGGTATTTCTTTTTTACATTACACAAAGCCTTCTGTATCATTTTTAATTCCTTTGTAATATAAATGACAATACTCTCAGTTTGATTTTCTGCTTTAAATTACCTTTAATAAGCATTTTATACTGCATTCCAAAGTGATACAGACTTCAGTTGATAGACAAAGTTAATAGTGCTATGTGTTAGGAGAGTTTTGTTACTGGCACCAACTTGCACAACTTATACAAAAGGCAAATGCTAGTAACTGTTATGCCCAGATGAAAATGGAATTATAAGTATGTGATTAAAGCAGCTTTATCTTTATTTGAAAGTTAATTTTCTCTGATTTTTCTTTAGTTCATTAGATTTTAGATTGTCCTTTGACTGGAAACTTAGTTACACAAGGCAGTCTGTTTTTTTGCTTCTTTTTTAAAAAGAAATTAGTTGTATTGAACTGCCTTTTTATTTCTTCTTATATAACACCTTATAGTGTTATGGTTTGGGTTTGATATCTTTGGACAGAAAAGTATATCAATTATTTTAAATGAACTTCCCCCTGTCTTTGAAGCTTAGTCTCTAAAATGTGTTACTATAAAAGAAAATGCTTGGGATTGCATTACTTGAAATCTTGAAAACTGAAATTAATAAGATACATTACATAATGAATTAGATTTTTCTGAACACAATTTTTATGCGAATTCTATTTTAGGGTCACAATTTGAAATAGAAAATTTCACTATTTCAATGAAAAACTAATGGTAGTGCTTATAGAGAAGACCCGTTTGTGTTGGGCATCCAAAATTAAAGTTTTTAGTAGATTTCTGTGCTGAAATCTGCTTTCTCTTCTTTCCTATGCTATGCACTTACTATGCTACTGATGGTATCAAACATGTTAAAATAAAATGTGTTAATTATGAATCCTATAGCTTTTCTAGTTACAAAAAAAAATGTGTAAAATACTCAATGTTTTTGTTAACATCTTATCCATTAATGATATACCCATTAATCATTTTAACAAACACAAGATACTTATAAAAATTGAAAAGGTTACATAGTGTATTTAAACTAGTTAGTGATGAATAAGAAAAAGCTGGCTAATTTAGATTGTTACATTAGTTAAATATTAAAACTCTAACAGGAACTTTAAAAGCTAGGTTAAGACCTGATAGTATCCATGTAAACTAGTTCACGTGACCTGGAAAAGACCCAAAAAGCTGTGGAGAAAATGTGAATATTTGCTTGCCATGGTTGTGGTGTGCTGCTACTTCAGTTTTGGTAGTGACACACTGACATTTTTATTGTACAATAATCTGAAGAAATTTCTTTTTGTTTGTACTAAAGTAACTATAAATTGGTGGAATTTGCAAAGGGAAAACTTTTAAACTGTACTATATATAGGAGCCATTGTACAGCTGGATGAAGAAGTTTCCATGATGTGAAATATTTGAATTTTAAATATCATTAAAAAAAGAAGACATGGCATCATTCCATGTTCTTAAATGATAATTTCAGATGCAGGAGGAAAAAAAAAACAAAACCCCAGTGAATAATTGTCATTAACCGTAGTTGTATGTTAAATTGGGAAATTGGCAGAAAGCTTAAATTTGTGTATCAAATGTGAACCATAGTAGTATGCTGCTTTGTATATACTGTAAGTGCTACAAATAGTCTCAGCACTGAAAATGTATTGATACCTCTCAAATGAATGCAACTTTTGAAGGAGGTGTTTTGATATGCCTCAGAAAGTATCTGAGAACTTGTTAATTTGTTTGGTAATGACGATACTTCCTGTTTTTTGTTGCATATTTTCATGTTTAAAATTTAATTTTTACATTTTTACTACTGTTAATTTAAGTAAAACTTGTTCTGTGGACAAAAATGGGGTTGCCAGTGAAGAAAATAAAAAACAGCCTCATTCATGTAACTGCTTACGTAAAAATGTTTTTGCTCTATGTTCGTAAACGTTTAATGAAGCTGTGTTTTTGTTTAAAATATAAGTGATGTTTAGGCTTTATTTCTGTTTAATAAGGCCTTTTACCATTGATTAAATGAAGGAATGTATCTTTTTGAAGAGATTTATATTCTGTAAATAAAAAGTTGGTTGTAACAATAAAGTTGGGTTCTAGTTGCAGTGTCTCCATAAATCTTGTCACTTCGACTAATTTTTGTGGTTTGCTTTTGTGGAAAAACAAAAGACTTTAATGTTAGTGTATAACTATATTTGAAGTAATTTTTAAATTTCTAATTTTCTGGTTTTATAATATAGTGTTTTAATGTTTTGAAAAATGTTTACTTTCGAAAATTTGGCTGAGACAAGAGTATAGATATTATATAACTTACTAGTAGCCCGGTGCACGAAATTCGTGCACCTGGGGGGGGGGGGGGGGCCCCTCAGTCTGGCCTTCACCCTCTCCAATCTGAGACCCCTCAGGGAATGTCCAACTACCTGTTTGTGCCCACACTTTTAACAGATAACAGCTCCATTGTTGTTTCTTTCTTATGCTTAAAACCATTGGAATTAGTAGGTATTCAAAGTGTGTATACATTTTGGGGGGACACCCTGTATATCTCTAGTCAGTGGTGAAAGAAACCAACAGCAGATTTGGAACCCCCAGACAGGGAACCTTGCTCATTCCCCACATGGCTCCCCACTTCACTTTCCACCTTCGTGGGCAGCAGGAGAATCAACATTTTCTCTCATTAATTCGGAAAAGCACGTCCTGTCACCC